ACCGCTGCAGCAGCGGCCACGGCAGCGACAACAGCAGCGTGCTGAGCGGGGAGCTCCCGCCCGCCATGGGCAAGACGGCGCTCTTCTACCACAGCGGCGGCAGCAGCGGCTACGAGAGCATGATGCGCGACAGCGAGGCCACCGGCAGCGCGTCGTCCGCCCAGGACTCCATGAAGCGAGAACAGCAGCTCCGTGGGCGGGCGCTGCCGCAGCCTCAAAGCCCCGAAGAAGCGCGCCAACTCAGGTAGGTGCGGGCCCCGGCCGCGGGCATCGGCGCCCCTGCTCCCCTGTTCCCACCACCCATCACCAGAGCCGTGGAGGGCTTCACTGTCAAAACCCAACGACGGGCATCATGACACCTTCAGGCTGTGAATGCCCGCCGGTCTTAGAGCCGGGAGAAGGCAGGGCGCTCCAGGGCACCAGGGGCACGGCTCCATGCTCACCAGCTGTGGGGGGGAAAGAAGCGGCCCCTTCCTCCATGGGTACCCACCCTGCCCCGACCTCGGGCCCAGAGACCTGGGTTCCTCTGCTCAAGGACCAAGAATACTGCTGCTTAGAACCACCTGAGAGATTAGGTCAGGGTAGCTACCTTGATGACCCAGAGATGCCCCCGACCCTGGCAGCCACTCTCTGGGAATGGGACAAGGCACACGTTATCTTACTGAAGTGCAGTTGGGGAAGCCCTTCCTATACACACACCCCTGCCTCAGACACACTTACAGTCACATGTGCACACTGGCCACAGTTCTGAAATATTCCACAGGTACACAGACACACACACCGTGGTGCAGAAATACATGCTTTTAGAGGAAGTCTTTGCCATTTCCAGGAATCTCCTATCAAAAGGCAAATAAATACTCCTGAGGAACTAATGTATAAAGCCTAGTGACCTATTAATTGGAGTTTGGGGGACAGGTGACAGTAATGATGGCCAAGGAGAAGAGGACTTAGGTCAGAGCTGATGTCCCAGGTAGCCACGGGGTTGGTGAGGTGAAAGGTCAGTAAGGAGACAGAGGGACAGAGAGAGAAGACAAAAAGGAACCAAGGCCAACTTAAGCTCCTTGAGAATTTTGCTGATTCATCTTTGCTCTTAAATGGATTTCAGAGAACTTGTCCTTACTCATTCTTTAGCACAGGATGCATTTTGTAATGAAGTGATCTCCCGCAGAGCCCCACATGCAGTTCTGCGCCTTGGTTGAACTGAGCGTTGCCTGGGGTTCCAGCCTGTCCTTAGTCACACTGTGGCCCTTCTATGAAACCCTAGTCTCTCCCAGAGCCCTCGGATAATATTGGTGCCACCAGCATATTTGGAATTAAAAGATGGGGTAAGACCCAGAAGTGAGGGCTCTTCTTTCCAGCAGCTGCTGCAGCCAGCGATTGCCCCACCTGTTTTTATCTCTCAACCACGGGGTTGCCTTTTTCTGTTTCCACACCTCAGGCAAGCACAGACTGTACACTGTTCCATTCCAAATGTAAAGACTGTGGTTAATGCACATCATAAACCATTTGTCTGCTTCAAATCAAAGAAACCAACCTCAAGGGACCATGCAGTCATGTTGTAATTCTAGACATCATGATGTAGGTCGCCCCAGCCACCCACCCCATCACAGATCATGAAACGTGATGAGGATGTTACCCTCCTGGCCTGTTCAGGAGCCATCATGCCTGTCGGGACCTTGATGTCTTTATTTCCCAGGCGATGTGTGCATCAGGCTGTGGTCCACTCTGACCGTGCTCCCCTTCAGGCCCTCAGCCCTGGGTCTCAGCAGCAGACCTGGGAGCAGAACTCCGTAGAAGACAAGTGGAGAGCAGAAAGCCATTTGGTGTAACATGACAGCTGCTGTGTCCTATTTGCAGGGTCAAGGGCATTAAAATATATTGATAGTAGTTACTAAAAATAACAAGAAAATTTATGTAAGCCAGAGTCTTTGCAGGGGAAAAAAATATCTGGCCTTCCCAGTACTTAGTTGATAAACCTTATTATTACATTCTACCCAGTGTTGGTCTTCAAAGTCCAGATTATTGTGTGACGTTTGCCATGTGCTCACGTGGGTTTGGGTGTTATAGAGTGCTTTCACGTACTCTAATTTTGTGTCTTGAATCTACCAATCCATTTTATTCTGCATCTTTGCTCTTTTTCTTGACTTGCATTTTTTGGTTTGGCCGTTACACTGAGCAAAGAGGAAGGAAACCTAAAATAATCACTTGGACTGCAGGCTCTGCACGTGTCCTTCCTTGGTGTGACCTTTTGTAAATGCTGTTCTCTGAGGGTCTCTTGTTAGGTTAGGCTGTTGGTGTAAAAGCAGAGCACTGGGCTAGGTGCCAGGGGTGGGATATAAGTGAGAGCGCCGAGGGCATTGGGCCTCTGTGAACAGCCACCCTAGAGTCCAGGTCCAGAATGGATACGGCAGTGGAGATATGCTCCTTCCAGGCTCGGTGACCTTGTCTTACTTTTTTATGATTATTATTAAGAGAAATGCTGGCTGTCAGATATGATCAGCATAAATCAAAAGCAACTTCTTTAAGAGAAGCCATAAACCTTCTCAAAGGAAATACCTAGCTCGATGGCTGGATTTTACTATCACTAGAGGTGTCTGGCACTGCAGAGGAGATAGACAATTATCTGTCAGCTGAGATTACTTTTGAATTTGGAAAACTTTAATGCTTTGGTTATTTCCTTAGTGAAAATGAGCTAGAAATATCTTCCCAGGGAGATAAGCTTGCACTCTTTGAGTGCTTTCTAGTGCACGTAACAGTGGAAACAGTCAAACATAGTGATGGTTCACTGTTGTGGTCCTGTGCCTGGAGATCCATGTTGGTGAAGAGTGCATGGAATTGGATTCTTCCTGTTGGCATAGTGCAGTGGGATGATTGAGCTAGAAAGCAGGAGACTTGGGGTCTTGGGCTGTGTGACCTTTAGGAAATAACTGTCCTCTCTGGGCTTCAGTTTTCTTACATAAAAGTAAAATAAGGGGGTTGGTAGAGAACCACCACGGTCTTTCTGATTCTCACATTGTATAAGATGATGCAAATAATGTAAAAAATATTGGAGGTAATGTGACTTCCTTTCCATAAGGTGATCCGTAGTCCATAGGATTTATTTTTAGTTGTTAAATTTTGATCGTGCCTCTTCTGTGCTGTCCGAGCTTGGTGATATGAAAGTTTCAATTATGACGGGAGAGGGGCAGGCAGCGTGGAAGACAAGGCTGCTCTGGGAAGTGTATAATCTCATTGGAGAGCAAGGACGAAGCACGTGGAACAGAGAACAGTGAACCAAGGCACGTTGCTAAGTGCTGAGAGATGTAGTGAGACTTTAGTGTAGGAAAGTATTTAGACAAAGAGGGTCCAGAGCAGTTGAAGAAGGCTACGGGGAAACACTGAGCCAGGCCTTGAAGGATGCTGGGGCAAAGCAGGTAGAGGGCATTGTAGGCTGAGGCAGTGATGGGAGCACAAGCTTGGGGCAGGGAGAGCATGGCTTAGGGACAACAGAGTGGGATTAACTCCACAAGGGGGCTATTCCTAATGGATGTCATGACAGGAAAGGTAAGCCCTGGTCAAATTATTCCTTGTACGTGTGGCAACTGTGGTAGGAATGATTGCAGTTGGCAGTGGGGAGTCATTATAGGTTCTTGGCTGAAAGTGTGATGAGGTGACAGAAGCTGTGGGTTGCTTTCTATTGATGGATTTTTATCCATTCCTCTGCTATTCCTTGCCAGCCCCCTGTGGCAGGTGACACAAACTTGTATGTGTAGGCATTAGCCATGAAGTAGTGATGGCAGCCAGCCCAGGTGGGGAGCAAATGTCCATCCTGTCCAGAGTAATTCCGTGTCTCAGAGGATGTCAATCAGTGATGGGCAGTTTAAGCCATGGTTGCATCAGCCTGGCCCCACCCAAGGCCCCGTCCTTACACTGAGAGCTCCTTCGTATCCCGTGTCTTGTGGGCTCTCCCTGACGTTGATCTTCCTTCTCAGGTTCCTGACACTTCACCCCACACCTGGTGTGTTACCCTCTTAACTTCTTTCTCTCTCTTTCCTTCCCTCCTGAGCTGGCTGGAGAAATCTGGAAATTAGATCAGCACCTTGGTCTGAATGAAGTTCTTTCCCACTGCAGCAGGCCCTGGGTGTGGACCCAGCATCCAAAAGGCCCAGGAGACAGGGCAGGTCTGCCCCAGGAGAAGCCAGCCAGGGAGCGTGTTGGTTCTGAGATGCACCCAGAGCTTGACCTGCCCCGACATGAGCTCCTGCATGGCTTGTTCTGCACTTGACTCAGCCTGTTGGGGCCCCAGCACTGGGCTGGGACAGGTTACTGGGAATCAGTTGGACACTGCTGACTGACTCACTGGTTGGCTGGCTGGCTGGCAGGGTGGTCTTACAAGTTAGCTGAGTTCTTTTCTGTGTACTTCTCATATCTCGCCCTGCCAGTGACCTGTGTTTTAAACACTGAGCCTGTCCTGTATTTTCTTTCCTACTCTAATCACCAAACACTTCCCTGCTCCGGGTGCTGAGTAAACATTGCTGACTGATGGGTTGCTGGGTTCAGTTAGCAGACCTGCTGCACCAAAATCTGTGACTAGTTACTCCTCCAAGGGCCTCAGAGCCCTTGGTTCACTCTGCCTTCCCACTGCTGTTCATTTGGTTCTCAGGTGCAATCCTCTTTTGTTTCAATGAATTCAGAAAACACAGTAGTCTCTGGTGTAATGAAAACGGGTAAGGCAAGCTGCCTGTTGGCCGATTTAAGATTTCTAGAGTGTTCCTAAGAGACTCCACCTAGAAATAGATGAGAAAGGGCTCCAAGTGAGATAATCTTTCTGACTATACGTTGGAAAAAAAATTGAAAAGTAATTGGCTCCCTACGACACCGAGGACCGCCCTTCGAGTAGAGAATGAGGGGGATTGGGGCTGAGAGTCACGTGTAAGGGGCCCAGGCTCTGCCCTGAGGAGAGCCCTGCAGCCCGGACCTCTCCCCATCTCATCTCCATCTTGGGAAGGGTACGCTTGTCAATTCAAGGTCTCCAGCAGCTGGAGCAGCCAGCATCATCATTCATCTGGAGGCAGAAGGCTGGCTCTTGTTGGTCAGTAAATTCACTCACCTTGATGTTTTCCCACCCACTCCTCATCTCTGATGTCTGCAGTACCTTGAGTCAGAATGGAGATGGGGGGTGATGGAGGAGAAGCTAATGACGGTAAGGTTCTCAGGGGCGGGAGTTGGGAAAGGGCATCAGCCTGTTCCCAATGCCTGTGTTTCCTGACATTTGACCTAAGAAACAGCATCTTTGGACTCAGTGTGGACACTTTCATCTGCACTCGATGATGTTAAAAATGGAAGGCCCAACATCAGACTTCTCACTGGGGCTGTCAGTGCTGCGGAGGAGAGAGTGAAGTAGGCTGTGACGGGTCAGGGGCCCCTCCTAACGCACGCAGCTGACGGCTACACCTGCAGCAGGGAGGGGAGAGAGTGGGCTCAGATTTTCATGCAGCAAAATTGTTGGCAGTTACCAGCTTAAGTGTTTCTTTACACACTTGGCTTCTCCATGTTCAGAGTGCTGGGCTGATGAGCAGGGAGTTAGGAGAGAGAGAATGAAGGAATCCTGACCTGCTGGCATCAGCGGGAAGCTGGTTCAGGACGTGGGATCCCGAACCAGACAGCTGTGTTCAACGGGGCCTCACACCACTGTTGCCCAAACTGGGGCACTTCCCCACTGCATGCCTACCTCAGACGCTGCCCTGACCTTCCAGTAGCCTGGAAGGAAGTGGTCATTGGCAGAGGCTGGGCTCAGCAGAAAGCTGGGAGCATCTGCTTGAGAGGTGGAGGTGGTGGACCATGCTGAAAATCCAAGAAATCATATTTCTGTGGGGAGTCAGACCAAGGCCCTGTGGTCAGCTCTCTCCCCGTGATGATGTGGTGTTTTGGCACCAGTTTCCTGTGCCCTTTCCAGCAATGTGAGGGCACCATCTCTCCCTCTGAAACTTCCTTTTCAGCATTAAACTCCTTCTCCTCTAGTCTGACCACAGTCCCCTGCCCTTGCCCTCAGCTTTCCTCATCACACCCTGAGTTAAGTCTCCCAGTGTATCTCTGGAGGAGAGGCAGAACCCACGTAATTAGGGGAGGAATGAAGAGGGAGAGTGGAGAGGAGGAATGAAGAGGGAGAGTGGAGAAGAGAAGGCATTGACTTCTCCGAGAGTCCTTCAGCACTACGGGGAGCGATGCTGTAAGGACCAGTGCTTCCAGCAGCATCAGCCCACTAGCTGATACAGGCCGTTTCCAGAAAATTACAGGGCTGTGCATCCTTCGTATTCTCAGGGCTGCCATGTCGTGACATGCTCTCCTGCACTCTCACTCAGATCTGACTTTGGATGAAGTCGCTATCTGTTCTGTTTAAAAGCAGAATTGGCCCAGACTCTAAGAGCAGCTAGCCAAGGCTTCCAGCAGACTCCACCTTCTTTCCTCAAACTCAGGAGTGACCACATACTAATTCTGAGTTAAATTAAGTCAGGCTTCCTTCAGCTTCAGGATAAACCTGTCGGGATGGTGTCACGTTTCCCAGCCACCCTCCTTCCAGGAGAAAGCAAGCTTCTGAGATGCCGTTCCTGGCAGAAGTTGCTTCAGGGCAGGTGTGCCTCAGGAGATGCAGCTCCAGGAAGCAACACCAGCACCCACAGACCCCAGCTTCCAGGGGACCAAGCCTGCAACCTCCCACTGGAGGAGGGGCCAGAACCAGAGGGGCAAGCATGGTCATCGCCCAAAGCAAGAGGCTAGTTCTGCTTCCAAGGTGGATGAAATATAAGTCCCCACCCTCAGAAGCCAGGCCAAGGCTTCACTCACTCACGCCCCCAGGCACCGGAAAAGGTGGTGCTTGGAGCAGTGGGGCCCCCGGCCATGCGGCCACACTATGGTAATTGCTTTTCATAATCCTCGAGAGACCTGCCTCTAGGGGCACAAATCTGCATGTTCTCTCTGTTGGGCTGCAGCCCGCAGGCCCGCAGGCCCGCAGGCCTTGTGGTTGCCCAGCCTCAAGACCAAAGAAAGATCCCAGAGACAACGACAGAGACCTCATTGTTTTATTGGACAGCGGATCCTACACAAAGCGTCAGAGTGTCCTGGGACGACACCCACCGCCTGTGGCAGACAGCAGGCGGGACGCGGCGGCAGCCCTCCCTGCTCAGGGGAGAAGGAGGCTGCCACCTACAGGAGGGATTGACGTCAGGAGGGCTCATCGCTTACCAGGGGCTGATGAAGCCCTAGAATGAAGAGGATGGGGCAGTCCGTGAGTGAAGCAGGTTGAGCAGGTGATCTAGAGAGAGCCAGAGAGCAGCCGTCTTGAGTGGCCTGACCATACATACGATCTCTGTGATTCCTGTGTGCTCTTCAACTCCCCAAAAAGATTACGAAGGAAAACAATCAAAAGGATATTCATGTTTAGTGAGCACCTACTATGTGCCAAGTTCTGTGGTGTTTAATGATAACCTATTCTTTGGAGGAAATCATTTATTACCTGATACTTTAATTTTTATTATTTTGGTGGAGAATGTGGGCAATGGATGTTTTTAGACAAGGGAATACTGAGACTTTGGGCAAGTTACTGAAGTCGTTTGTACCTTAGTTTCCTCTTCTGTGAGAATTAAATTGGGTACTAGGCTTGCCTGTGACAGAGCATCCCCATAACAACATAGAGATTAATTCCTCGTGGAAAAGTCTGTGTAGGGGATTTTTAGGGCAGTGAAAATACTCTGTGTGGTACCGTCATGGTGGATACATATCATGACACAGTTGTTCAAACCATAGGATGTAAACACCAAGAGGGAACTCTAATGTAAGCTACGGACTCGGTGTCCCTGTGGATAATGCCATGTCAGTGTAGGTTGTGACACATGCACCACTGTGATGGGGATGTTGATGGCAGGGGAGGTTCTCCGTGTGTGGGGACCTAGGGGACATGGGAATTCTCTGTGCCTTCCTCTCAATTCAGCTGTAATCCTAAATCTGCTCTAGAAAAATTAAGTCTTCAGGAAAAAAGTCTGCATAGGTGACCGTGTGAAAGTCTCCAGGGCGCCAGGAACCCAGGCTCCTCTTATTTTTCTGTTGTTTATGATCTTCATCTCATGGACTGGCCAGCAGGCCCATTTTCCATCCAGAACAAAGGAGAGAGGACGAGGCAGACAGACCTCCCCCTTTCAGGACACTTTCTAGCTGTTGCACAGGGCACTTCTGTTTCTGTCACACTGGTGGAGCTTAAGTCAGTTGTACCACACAGGTGCATCTGGGTGGCCGTGTGCCCTGCTCCAACTTGGGGTGTCTTGCTGAGGAAGAAGAGGAAAGCAGGCATTGGGGGGCAGCTAGGAGCCCTTGTCACAGCACATAAAACACATTAAGCGGGGCCTGACACGTGATCTGTGCTCATTCCAGTGTTGTTGCTGAAGCAAATAAACTCCTCTTACTACAATTCCAGACACTAAGATCTTTCTTCCCTACACAAACATCTCTAATTTCACTGTACCATGTACCTGTACAGAGGAGATGGCCAGTGTGGCTGTCAGTTGTAGACGGCGTGTCCTCCAGCCTGTGTGTTTTGGTGTGCCTGCGTGTGCATGTGTTTTAAGGTGGAAGCCAGAGGTGGCTGGAAGGGGGGGGGGCTCCCCGAGCTGGTGGAGGTACCAGTGTAAGCGAGTGGACACTGAGGTGGTGGTGGAAGGGCCAAGCATTTCGAACACAGCTCTGTAGCAGTTCCCTGGGTGGCCTGCCACGGCCCCACCCTTCACATCAAAAAATATATTT